GGGGGGGCGCTCCCACACCCACCGACCCATTGGGTCTACTAGGGTCTTGGCAGTCTCCGTGAAAGTGTGGACTTGTGCCCCCCTCCCCTTTGGGGGAGGGAGGAATAGAAAGTCCCTCACCTCGCATCCCGCCTGAGTGGGGACTGGTATCTCTCCTAAAGGGTGAGGTGGTTTTGACCGCGGGTTGCCCGGCCAGCACGACCCGAGGAGGTGGCTGGAGGAGGTGGCTGGACGGCTAAAGAATGAACGGAGAAGCTGACTGCCCCACAGACCTGGAAATGGCCGCCCCCAAAGGCCAAGGTAGGAGCTCTTTAACTTAAGCTCTCTTTTTCACATGGCTGTCTGCAGGGTCCGCTCTCCTTCAAAAGGGTTGCCGTCTGCATTCTCTGAATTGAGATGAGGTCGGTGTCTTCAGTTTTATGAGTTAAGTTCGACCAAACCCAAATTATTTGGCCTTGAGACAGTAAGCTGTATTTTTCACACTCCGTTTCCTCTCTTAGAGAGGGAGAGGGAGGCCTGTGCGAGCCTTCTTTCTGGGGTTCCCAGGCAGACCCCAGTGTGCCCTTGCCCTCTCTACACCCGGTGTCGGGGAATGGGAGGTAGGACGAGGAATGTGGGGGGAAGAGGGAGAAAAGAGGGATTGGGAAGGCTTTTCAGGTTTTTATTGTTATTAAGAGGACAAGATTTTTGGTGAGGCAGGTGGAGAGAGAGGATGTTTTGGTGGCTTTGAGGCTCCAAGCCATAGGCCGTCCATCACTAGACCCTATCCCATCCAGTAGGGATCCCATGGGGGGGAGGGGGCAGGGGGTAGGATGAAGATGAGCATCTGGCCATGACTGTGGGACACTGAGAGGAGAAAGGATTATGGGTCCATGTGACCCACCCTGCGGAAACCCTGACCAGATGCAAATGCAAATGAAGAGCCCTTTTGACTACTAGCCTTGGATATCTGTTCTCCTATCTCACCTTCCAGAGTCACCAACCTCCAGGGAGGCCTTCTGGAGCTGTATTTCAGTGACTGGAAATCGCTGGTTCAGACCCACCCCTTTTTTTGCCTCCCTAGGGAGTTGGGCTCAACTCCCTGGATCCGGCGGATCCGGTTCTCCCTGGAGCCAGGGCCCTTTGCCCACCTGCCCGTCTTGCCTCCCAACTCCCCTGTATGGTTCTTCTGTTTCCACTCCATTTTTCTTACTTGCCCCAAATTTTCCTTTGGTCTTCCCTGAGAGGCCAAGAGGGAGTGGGGGATGATGGGATACCCATGTCTTTAAGGTTAGTTTCCAGTTACGCTGGAGAAAAACGTCTGCATGGATTCTCCTTACTGCCCACACTCCATCCTGTCTTTGCACATCTCCGGTGTCTGCCTAGAACTTAAACTTGGCAACACATATCAATGTGTTGTGCCTCCCTCCCCTCTCCCAGTAAGTTAGCTGTTTTCCCACTGAGCCCCAAATCACTGTAGCTCATCTCTTCCTCTCCCCTGTAATAAATAGTAGCCTGTGGCGGCCTAGCGTGTTAGAAACGGTCGTAGTCTTGGTGCCTTCTGGACGGGAATCCCAGCTCTAATCCATATGGTCACAGTTCTCCCTTATGACAAGGTCGTGCCTTCCCATGTAGGAGGCAACCAGGGATGTGGGGTTCTCTGGGAAAGAAGGACTAGGGAAGAGATGAGGGGAAAGGATGGAGCTGGGCATGACTGCCTTTCTTTCCCCTCCCCAGACCGCTGGTCTCAGGAAGACATGCTGACTTTGCTGGAATGCATGAAGAACAACCTTCCATCCAACGACAGCTCCAAGTTCAAAACCACCGAGTCACATATGGACTGGGAAAAAGTAGCATTTAAAGACTTTTCTGGAGATATGTGCAAGCTCAAATGGGTGGAGATTTCTAATGAGGTAACTGATTCCCCCCCCCCCCCCCTTCCTGACACAGCTACACGAACTCTGCCTCAACCTTCCTGGTGGGGGAGAGGAAACAGAAGTCTGTAAACAGGAAGGAAAGAGACCAGGCGAGGTGCTCATGTGGTCGCCCTTGTGCGTTTGGGAGGTGGCATGGTTGACAGCACTGGCCTAGAGTTCTCAGTTCTGCCACTTTCTAGCTGTGTGGCCTTGAATACTTACCGTCTTGGAGCTTCTGTCGCCTGAGCTGTTCTGGGGATTGAATGAGGTGCTGGCATGGACAACCGCATCGAGGTCAGGTGGTCACCTTGTTGCTGTCCTTTGGTGTATACGGACTGCCTGGTCCTCTGCAGTAGGCATGGGCCAGCGCCTGGGTGCCTGCCTGGGGTGTCAGGGGCTGTCTGAGTTGTGTGGCTGTTGGCCTCTGCTCCTCCCGTGATAAATTCAGCCTAGTGGAAAATAGAGGAGACCCGCTGGAAAAGGGGTTAGGCTCTGGGGTGGTGTTTCCCCGTCCTGAACGTCCTCTTGCACTCACTTCCCTTCTTCCTCCAGGTGAGGAAGTTCCGTACGTTGACAGAATTGATCCTTGATGCTCAGGAACACGTTAAAAATCCTTACAAAGGCAAAAAACTCAAGGTGAGTTTCCAAGAGGAGGAGCATGGCATGTAGGAGAGGAATGGTCCAAAGAACGGATGCTGTCTGACCTTCACCGTGTCCTTGACCCTCCTTCCAGAAACACCCGGACTTCCCAAAGAAGCCCCTGACCCCTTATTTCCGCTTCTTCATGGAGAAGCGGGCCAAGTATGCGAAACTCCACCCTGAGATGAGCAACCTGGACCTGACCAAGATTTTGTCCAAGAAATACAAGGAGCTGCCGGAGAAGAAGAAGGTGGGGGGAGGGGGGCTTTGGCGGGAGGAAGGGAGAGGCAGGTAGCAGCTGGTGTGGTGTAGGTCAGCCATGGGGGGGGGGCGGGGAGGCTCAGACAGAGGGACTCGGCGTCAGGGATACGGGTGGGTCAGCGTAGCAGAGTGTAGGGTCTTGGGCAGCCACACTTGATCTCCCCGTCCCGCACACCGTCAGGCACGGGCATTGTCGAAGGTGTAATCCAAACTGAAGCAGGCGCTCAGACCAACATTTTGCCCCCCGGACCATTCACAGCGTTCTCTCACTCGGCTCTGCCCCTGTGCACGCGTCCTCGCTCTGAGGCTGGCACAGCAGGTCCACCCTCTGACATTTGCCAGTGTGTGCCGTATCCTTGGAAAGGTAACCCCCCGGAGGAGGGGTTATTCCGATCCTGTGGGCAAGGAACTGAGGCTCAGGTGGGACTCGTGTCCCGGGTCCCACAACTAGTGACCGCAGAGCAGGACTTGGGTCTGGTGCTCTTCTCACGGCCGCGTCCGTCTGTACGTTATCAGGTGGGCTTCCTTCCTCCGTACGCATGTTCGCCCAAGGACATACCTTGTCCTTTGGGGCCTTGTGCTATCCCGGGTCATCGGAGATCCTTAACCTTGGGCGGAGGTTACCCGAGTCGCCCAGGGCAGGGGTGGACACGAGCGCAGTGAGGTCAGGTGGACCCTCACAGAAGCTGGCAGCAAAGCAGTGGAGGAGCCTGTAGCAGGGCCCGAGGGAGTTGGGGTGGGGAGAGAGACAGACACCGCTGGTGCTGGACTTGCAGGGTGGAGCCAGGGAGAGGAGTCGGGGAGGGGCAGCGGGAGAGGCAAGAGGGCACGTTTGCCGGAAGAGGAAACAAAGCCATAACCCAGCCGGCACACCACGTGCAGCCTTCTTCTGGTCTGTGTACTCTGGCTGCAGGCTCACGTGCCCTTGGTTCTGTGCCCAAAAAGGAGCCAGCTTGGCTGGGGGAAACCGGCTGCCCAGGCCAAGCAGGAGTAGGAACTGGCGGAGTTCTCCTTGACCCCTCTGATGGGGATGTTGCAGAGCTGGCTGCCCACACGACGCCCAGACACACACGGGATGGGAGGGAGAGGCAGAGGGTCCAAGGACCAGGGAAGGACAAGAAGCTACATGGTAGGGTGGACAGGGTGCTGGCCTGGGGGACGCAAGACTGGGGCCTGGTCTCCTGACTACCACTGAATTGCTCTGTATGTGACCTTTGGTAAGTTACTTCGTTTCTCTGGACATGGTCTTTATCTGAGGTGCAGAGAGTAAGCCCGATCCGTCCGGTGCCTTCCTGTTCTGAAGGCTGCTGAGTTGTGTGAGGAGGGCCAGAATTGGGGCAGGGTAGGCTGGGCGCCGCTCCCTGTCTTCTGCAGGAACCACAGGGGAGAGTGAAGCTGTCTCTTCCCGTGCCTCGTGCCTCTTCTGTGAGAGGCAGGGGTTAGGCTCGGTTGTCATGAGCCCCTGGTCCCTTCTAAGGCTGACTCTTGTGAATGGGGGAGAAAGGAAAGCTGGACACCGAGTGGGAGCCAGGACAGGAGGCAGATGAGGAAAGGAAAGAACGGATTGGAAAGGAGGTTTGAGGAAGGAGCCTGGAAGAAGGGATTGGAGGCAGGGAAGAAGGTGACGGGAGGGGGTTAGGAATGGGAACTGGATGTAGTGGCTTGGGAAGAAAACCCAAATTCAAGAGACAGATCTATCAGAATGTCATTTACATTGCAAGAATTCACTCTAGGTTCCTTCAACACCATCTCCCCTCAGCCCTCGAAAACGGGGTCCAGCCTGGCCCTGGCCCTGTGGGCCACCCCTGAGGCAGCAAACCATTATCAGCTGCCACAGACATTGGAGGATCATTGGAGGAGGAAATGATCCGGAGGAGGCCTACACCCCCCCCCCCCCAGCTCCTCATCATGGAGAGTTTGCGGTGCTGGGGAAAGGTGGGGAGGTAGGATCAGGGGGAGTCCCAGCCCGGTCACTGCTCACTGTGACTGGCTACGGTTGAGTCTCCCCAGCCCGCTGGAAGGCAGGCCACCATCTCCTGCAAGCTCATGCCACCCTCTGTCCACGTCACCACTGGGAGGCAGAATAGCTAGCAAGGAGGACTCGGTGGTTTTTATAGCTCAGGCTTTGGGTCCTGGATGACCCCGTCCCCTCCTCCCCCAGATGAAATATATTCAGGACTTCCAGAGAGAAAAACAGGAGTTCGAGCGAAACCTGGCCCGGTTCAGGTAAGGCAGTGGAGCCCAGAGGAGGGCCACAGGGCATTGGGTGTGGCAGGATAGGGTGACACTGACCAGAGCCTCGAGTTTGCCATTTGTGAGGCATGGAAGATGGATGGGTCATGTGTAGACCCTAGTGGGTCATGCTCAAGGGCAGGGACAGGCAGGCGGCTGCTGTCCCAAGAGGCCCCGATTGATAGGCCTAGGAGCCTTGGTGGGTGGGGCAGCTAGACGGGGTCTCCCGGGCAGGATCCCCCCCCGCACCCACTGATTGTTGCTCCCCGTGCCCTGGCTAGGGAGGATCACCCTGACCTAATCCAGAATGCCAAGAAGTCGGACATCCCCGAGAAGCCCAAAACCCCCCAGCAGCTGTGGTACACCCATGAGAAGAAGGTGTATCTCAAAGTGCGGCCAGATGTGAGTGTCCGGCCAGGGGGTGGGGATGGAGGGCGCACGGTGGTGGCAAGGGGGGAGCCGCGCCAGGTCGGCCGGGCACGGTGCAGGGGAGCAGGAGAGGAGGCCCCTCCCCAGGGGTGGGCTGCATGGACAGGGCCTGGGCCAGCTGGCGTGCGAGCGTGTGCGTGCGTGCGTGTGTGAGCCTGTCCCCTTGCACCCAGGCGGGACCCCCGCCTCTCCACCTTCCCCTCCTGGCCTGTGGGGGACACTCGTGTGACCTCCTGTGGCCTGAGGGGGCGGGGGCCTCTGTGCCCCCCTCCCCCTCCCCTCTCCCTGCCCCTGGCTGCCTGTGTGTGTCTGACGGCTTTTGGTTTGCAGGCCACTACGAAGGAGGTGAAGGACTCCCTGGGGAAGCAGTGGTCTCAGCTCTCGGACAAAAAGAGGCTGAAATGGATTCATAAGGCCCTGGAGCAGCGGAAGGAGTACGAGGTTAGGCTTCCGCTGCGCTCCTCCCCATCCGGCTCTTCAAGAGCCTCTGCCCTCCGTCTCTGTGACCTCCGCACTCTGCGGGAGGTGGTCACTCCCTGTCCCTCCGTTGAGGGAGGGGCCTTCTGGGCCCCTCACCTCTGCCCCTACCTTCCCCGCCCCCCTCCCCTCCATGA